CACACATACATTTCTTCTTCTCTCACACCCTCTCAATTTTAGGTCATCAAATCGAATAAATTGAAAAAGATTAATGGCAAAAAATTAATATGAATGTGTAGAAGATAAAAATAGGTGTGTGGCTTTGTCAATTATAGAGTGAAGCAAATGCACCAAACTCACGATGTAACTTTATTTTGAAAGAGGGACATTTATTTCACACAGGACACACTTGTATCCTAGATATCAAGAGGCCATTTATTTTACATTAATTTAGTACTTATTTATCATAACTTAAAGGCCTCTTTCATTCTGATGACCATAGTGATAGATGGGAATCGATGATCTCCCACAACTGCTCAATTTAGTTCTGCAAAATGGTCACACACAAATATTATAAGTAATATGCATCAAGAACATCAACTCTAATTAATTGACGAAAATTAACAGTATGACAGGAGAACTTTCCCCTAGTGTAAGGGTTAGTGTAATTCTAATCACTTGCCTTCTTTCTGCAGCTGCCTTCCTTGTCGCTCTCGCCGTCGCTGCTGCTGCTGCTATGGCCGGAAATACCATCCTTGATCTTCTGAAGAAGATTTCTGCCTCCTCCTGTCTTCTTGTTCCTGTGCTCACCCTTCTTCTTGGTTCTTCCATGGCACGCCGTGCCGTTAGTTGCATGGTGCCCCTGACCGTTAGTTGCGGTGGCTGAGCGCTGAGTGTGGCTGCTGCTGTGAGAGCCATGGTGACCTTTCAGAAAGCCAGACACCTTTTGCCCTAATGAGCTCTCACTGGCAGGCATGTTTTGGGAAGTTTTGGGGCATGCCTCATTAGTGGCAGGCTTGTGGCATTGCATTGAGGCCATGGTACGTAATTAGCGGGGAAAGAAAAAGACTAGGGTTTCTTAATTTCTAGATAGTATTTTCGAGCTCTGTTGGTTCTGGAAAGCTCTAGGGTTAGGTCTCTTATATATGCAATGGAGTGGTGAGTGGGATTCCTTCTTTCCTTTGAGTTATATATCAGCTATGGAATCTGCTTTTGCATAATGGGCTGCAAAATTCAAAATACCCAGTCTTTATTCCTTGAGCTAGAAGAAACAAATCAATGCATGTCATGGCTTTTCTTATCACGTCAAGCCACCGAATCAATTCCAAATTTTAATTTAATCGTTCATGTCTACCATGCGTATAACTTTCGGAAAGGATCCTCTATGAATCCCTTCCACCTAATCCTTCTCATCAAACAATTCAGGCCTTTGAAATTTGATCTAACGGCTAAAGTTATTATAACTTTTAGAGTGGGCCCGTGTTTTTAACGGTTGGACCAAATTTCAAGGACTCAGATTGTTTGATGAGAAGGATTAGGTGGAAGGGATCCGGAGAGGATCCATTTCCATAACTTTCATCTATGTATCGTCATGCATGCCATTTTTCATATTACATATACCAAAAATGGTTTAAAGGCCACTTAATATTGCGGTCTAACGGTATTCTTCCTCACTGATAATTAAGTGAAATGTCTTAGGTTCAATTCTTGCCAAAGGCGAATTTGAACCACATTATTGATATCCATTGTTAGGCTTAGCCAACTCCCCTACCCCTTTCGTGTAGAGAGAGGGAGAGAGAATGGAATATCAGTAACAATTAGTATTTTACAAAATTACTTATCATGTATTAATTAAGCAAAAATTCAACTATTAATAGTATCTCACATATGCAAGTAGGCCTTTATCACAGTGTTGGAAAGGTGTTCAGCCCTTACATGATTCAAACCCCGTAGGTGGCTAATTTAATATCTAATCTAACAAAATATATCATTTGACAAAAAAAAAGTATCACAAAGATCGTTTAATAATTTTTATATGGTACTATTAAGTTATTAATTACATTGAAGGATTGAGAATGAATGCGATGAATGTCTCATAGAGTTACAAATGTAAGATAGAGAAAAAATGTGTTGGTGTCAAAATTTGGACAGAATTTGGACTGCGTTCAACACGTATGTGCCTTAAGTGTTGTTTTCAATCTCAGTGCCACGAAATGGCTTGAGAGACAGAGACAATAGGCCTGCCACTGTAGGAGGTTTTCAACATATAGTGTTTGTGTTTGAGTGTGTGTGAAAGTTGCACGTTAGTTTGACTTCTTAACCAAATGATTATGCACTGAGTAGGAGTTGGTTTGTTTAGTTCTTTTATATGTTTCTCGAGCAAAAGATGACTTAAAATTCAGTGCAACTTCATATATGTTTCCTAAAATTTAAATGAAAGTGAAATAAAAACTAAAAAGAGAAACATAATGTAATCATTTCATGATGTAGTCAAGATTACAAACTTTCAGAAAAGTAAAATCTAGGTTGACGGGCCAAGCTACATAACTTGAAATGTAAATTGACTAGAAATTAATGTAAAGAAAGCAGTAAAACTCTAGTAAGATTTAGGCCATGAAGGACATGAAAATGCTAGAGAAGTCCACCAAGATCACTGGTCTGGGATTGGACTTAGTACAAAACATGCTCATCTGAGATAAAAGCAAGGTGGTTGAAATTGCACATCAACCGAATCATACCACACGGTGGCAGAGCTGTAATAGCTTGAGATCTAGAGATCACAAGCAGTGTTTACTTCGAAAGAAGGCTTTGAGATTGTAGGTGAAGAGATAAAAAAAAAAATTATTGAAGAGAAATTGGATTTGTGCTGAAAAGCAAATGGGTTGATTAAGAATCACTCAAGGTTTTTGTCTACTTGTAGAGAGAGAATTTGACAAAGGTCTTGAGCTTGAAGGCATCAGACTTTATAAGGCAGTGAATGTAACTTTTGGTAGGTGGCATTTAGTTGTGTCTTGAAGTGACGCGTGTGTAGGCATGGGTGAGATATTCCAAACTTTGATCGCCTACGTGGCAGCCGCGTCTTGGAGAGGAACCTTTCGATTCAGAGCCCTCAGACAGTTTAGAGTGAAATAAGATGAATATCCAAGCCCCAATTTTAGCTTCAAAGTTTGTAGGTCGGAGTCGGGCAACTTTTGCATAAATAAAAATGAATAAGCCTTATAGAAGGCTTATTTTTATATATGGCCGAAACAATCAACTGACATGTGACAATATAACAACATTTGCTGAGCCATAGCTACTACAACGTGGACTATCATTTTTTGACATATGCAAATTAATAATTAAGTACATGCAATATTCACACTTGGAACATAATATATGTTTAGAATTGTATTTATCTCGTTACTACCATATATACATGGGATCATTAATTTATGCAACGCATCTTGGTCCCATGGAACCATATAGTACTAGTGCATTCTGGAAAAGGCGATCCTTTCAGTCTCATGGAACATTCTTTTTCTTTCTTTTCTTTAAAAATTCGATCAATTGGTAGGTGGAATTTCGTGTAGTGACAATTGATAACAGATTGAAAAAACGAAAAGAGAGACAATCACCAGACAAATTTCCATTGTATTTTCTTACAAGCGTAAGTGAACTCCCGGATCCGCGAAACCGGCACAGGTCCAATTCTGAAATTGGGAGAATATTTTCTTTGGAATATTTCGTTAACCTCAATTAACTTTAATAGAATATTTCTTATAAGGAAGGAATATTCCGTTAAAGTTAACTGTTAACTTTTGTTGAATTTTTCGAAATTTTCTTGGAAACCCTCCTAGGCTAATTTCGACGCCTCAAGTCCGTTTTTGACATCCATTTAGTGAAATTCCAAAGTTTTAACGTAGTTGACCACTGGAGCGTCTAGGTTGACTTTTTAGGATTAACCGTTGACTTCTTACAAAATTTATCCGGAACCCCTCTTAGCATATTTCAACGCTCTGATACCAAACTGCCGCACTCTAGATCGAGATGTGCCAATATTTCAGTTGGTATTCAAATAATTTAGTTCGAGAATCCACCTAATATTATCTTGGACATCCTCCTCCAAAACTTGTTTGTGTGAATGAGTTTGATCAATGATATGGTTTCTATTAAAAATAAATAAATCAACAGCACATATAAATCTAATCACTACTCAATGATATCGTATCAGGTTTCAATAATTTTAAATTTAAGGGGGAGTTTAAGAAGCAAAAAAAAATAAAAAAATAAAAAAAAGCAGATGATTGAAAAAGACCAAAAAAGAGAAGGTGCAAAAATGAATTAGTCCGCGCCCTTCTTTACGACAAAACTTGCCTGCTTTTTCCACTCTCAGTTTATCCGTTTGTATAAATATTTTCTGCCCACAAATTTATTGTCGGCACAAATTAAACGATTATGAGCCAACAAAGCAAAAAATTCGTTTGGTGAAAGCTGTTTTGCCAACAAAATTTGTCCAAAATTCGTCGGAAGAGAGAGATTTTTTAGTAGTGAATATATTGCATACAATTAAGAAAGGGAACATTAACACTCTAAAATTTTCATTATACACTATTCGCAAATGTATTTTTCTTTCTAATTATAGAAAATTTGGAGTGAAAAATGAAATTTTTGGAATGCCAATAACAATTACCTTAAAAAAATATGTTTTAACAGCATGATTATTGCGCAAATCTACCAGTCTACTTCAAAAGGCATTCTGTCATAAACTGCGAGAGTGCTAACACTTTGAATAAACTAATTTTGATAGAAGTTAATGAGAAAAAAAGGTTGGCACTATACGAACTTTGCAGGAGAGAGAATATTTGAGGAAAATGTACGAGAAAAATCAAAACATAGGTAGCTATCATTGGTCAAGGTGGGAACATATCCCATGTGGTACTACTAGAAAATATCATTTTGCCGACAAATTTTAAGCCGACAAAATAAAATTTTGTCCCCACAAAACACCTATCCCGACAAAAATTTTAATTTGTAGGCTCATAGCCATTGAAGTTATGCCGACAATATTTTCGTTAGTGAAAAATATTTATACTGACAAATAAAATGACACTCGGGAAAGCATGCAAGTCTGTCGTCTCTGACAATTAGAAGATGGGCGCGGACTAATTTATTTTCGCGCCTTTTGTTTTTTTGGTCTTTTTGATTCACCCGCTTCTTTTTTTATCGAAAAATTCCCCCTTTAAAAATCATTGTATTTTCATTGAACCCTAATCTTAACTGTAGATAGCCCACCCCTCCCCTCCGCTTCTCTTTGAAATCGTAACTCTCTGCTCTCCGATCTCTCTCCATCTGCTCGTCGTCACTCCTTATGCTTGACATCGCCGTCGATTCGTCTGCTTCTCTGCATTTCGTTCTCTAAAACTTTAGGTAAGTTCTCATTCTCTATCTACCTATTCTTTCCCCGTAGCTTTTTGTTTAGTTTCAATTTTATGGTGCTTTTCTTAGATTTGTTCTACCACTGTAATTTCGAGGGATTTTAGGTAATGAATTTGGTTGAGAATCTAAGTTAGGTTTGTAATTTCTTTCTGGGCTGCCCGGGTTTGAGGATGATAATCCACTTTTTGAATTTTAATTACTTTTAACTTTTATGTCTAAGAAACTGCAATCAAAATGCAGTTATGGTTTTATAGTCATAATCGATTGTGAGTCTTTGCACCACATCAATCAATTCCTATGTTTAATCAATTGAAATTAGGGTCATGTTAGTAATGAAATTGTCAGGTTAAGGTTATATGATATTTGCTTATAGGATTTGTGTTTTTGTTTTTTAATCTTTTTCATTTTCTATCTGCTATTAATTCCTAAACGAGAACACCAATTGGCATTAAGTTTTCTTCTATCTTCATTTTATATAGTTTGCTTCTGATTTATGCGTGTTATTTAGATTATTGATCAAATCAACTGTGTAGGAGGCTAGGAGCTCAAATAAGTGAGTAAAAAAATCTGAATTGTCCTTCTATTGTGCAGAACACTATGAGCAAGGAGCTTTCCGCAGGTAGATTTGATTGTGATAATAATATATTTTTATATTTTGTTTTCCTCTGCCTTGTGTTTATCCTAAATACATTAGTGACATCCTTTGCATTTTCTTGCATGTCGGAGTAGTTTGATTATGTATAATGCTAGACATGAGCAAGAAGCATACTGGAACAATGAGCACATATTGCCCTGCACCTCTGAGATCTACACCGCCTCTGAGGGTGACCGCTATGAGAAATCGGTCATTTTCCCATTATTCTCCCTGGTTTTTATTGCTTTTAAAGTTCCAATATTTAATCAGATTAATATTCTATTAGTAGATATCTCTACAACTGGGCTGTATATTTGATGAAAAATTTGATATGGTCCAATTCTTCTGTTGCAATCCTTTATTGTTCTCGGGTATATTTTTCTCGCTGTTTTGACAACCACCAGTCATCTGGTACATGATTTTTGAGTGAATTTTTCTGTTTAATTTGTGTGTTTAATTTTTATGTTTAGTTTGTGTGTTTAATTTATTTAGTATTTTGAGTGAACTTTTATGTTTTAACATTGGTCATCATTTTTTGTTTACAATTATGTCTAGATTGACCTCTTCACTTGCGAACATGATGACATTTAAGAATCTGCCTACCATGAATGTTCTGATGCTTTGGTCCTTTTTCCATAGTTGAGCATCTACTGATTTCTATATTTTTTCAAATCCTGTAGGTTATTTATGAAATTATTGAAACATCGTGGTATACCAGATGGTTTGATTATAAGCCACCTCCCTTTTGGTCCAACAGCTTATCTCAACTGCTCAATTTGGTACGTAGTGTAATAATTTTCATATATTTTGGTATTAAGACTAATGTAGGACGACATAGAAAGGATTTAGATTCATTCTTAAAATTGATTGTGAGTCTATGGCTAATTGTATCGTCAATTTGTACCTATTTGGTTATGTTTCTATTTTGTAACATTTTTTTTGCAGGTGCAGGATGTTTTGTGATGCTACATAGTGGCGAAGCCACGTGAGGACGAGGAGTGGTGACCGCCCCTCCCCTCGCCGGAAAACACAGCTGAAGCCGAGGTTTCGCCCCTCCCCTCACCGGAAAACCCAGCCCCTCCATCTCTGTTTTGGCACCGGTGAACTGGTTTCTGCTGCGTGCAGCAGCACTGGGTTCTTTTTTTTCCTTTTAAATTAATAAAAAATTTAAAATCTGGCCCGCATGTCCCAAAGTTAGGCCCCTCCATGTCTCATGTCTGTTTCAAATTAGTGCCCCTCCACGTGAAACTTTCAATGTTTGAAAAAAACCAAAAAAATATATATGTTTTGGGGGGACCGCGTGGCATGTCCCCCATTCCTTCACTTAGTCAGCCCGCGTGTCATGCTTTACCATTCCAAATTTCTCCCTTCCCCAATCAGAGAGAGAGAGAGTGCAAAGCTTCTCCCAAAATCTCAGCAGCCTGAGCCTGCAGCCAACGCCCGCAGCCAACGCCCAACCCCAACGGAACGGAAAATAAATCCCCATTGGCTGATTTCTGTTGGCTTTTTGCTGCTAACACTAGCCACTCCAGCCGCTAAGCCGACTTCTAGCCTTCAATTTCAAAGGTAAATTTTTTAATTCCTAAATTTATAATCCCTAACCCTAATTAATTATTTAATACGAATTTTGTTTAATTAGTATAGAATCATATGGTAATGCACTAATATGGTTATTGATTATTGATTATTGATATGATTCTATGATTATTGATTGATATGAAATTATGAAATTATTTTTTAGGGTGAAAATTAAAATTTGAATTTTTGATTAGTTGTATTCATATGATTAGTTGAATGAATTTTTTATTTATTTAATAATTTATATGCTTATTGGTATTGATTAATTGAATTGTTGGTTGGGTTATTATGCATATTAGTATAGTCTACTCTAGGATTAAGAGTAAGATTTTTTTTTCTTTCCATTTTACAGTTACGTAATGGAACGGTACTATAAGAAACAATGCTTAAATCCTCCTTCAAACATTTCGGGTAGTCCTTCTCGTTCAAATATTCCAAGTAGTCATCTTCCTCCTCCTTCAAATATAAGATGTCCTTTGAATATTCTGAGTAGTTCACAACAAAGTGAGCCCACTGAGTTGGATGAGATATTGGCTAATCTTCATGCAACCGCTTCGGTGGAGAGAGCTTTTTCTGCTATGAAGATTATGAAAACACCATTGCATAACAAAATGGGAGATCAATGGTTGAGTGATAGCATGCTTGTTTACATAGAGAGAGATGTATTTGCTTTTATTGATAATGAGCCTATTATGCGACGTTTTCATGGTATGAAACGTCGTCGGCAACAATTGTAATTTGTTTATGTTGATAAATTATGGAAGACATTACTATATAAAATGATTTGGTTGTTGCTATTCTTTTGAACCTTGCACTCTTTTAACTTCGCCCCTCCTCCCGTCAATTCCTGGCTTCGCCACTGGCTACATGGCAGCCAATTTTGAGGAATGACAGTAGGATAATTTTATTGTGTAACATATGCTTTTGTATAAACACTCTAGATGTACATTAAAATTTTATCAATCAATAAAGTATTATTTCTTAACAAATTTGTGTATTGTACTTTGATATGTTTATGTAGTTGTTGAGCATTAAAGTAATTATAATTTTTTTTATAAATTAAATGTCCTTCCCGACGAAACTAGTTTTGTCGAGACAAAAGATTATGCTGACAAAATATCCATGGTGACAAACATATTTTGTTGGCTAAAAAGTACTATTTGTCGGCTAAAATGCCTTTTACCGACGAAAATATTTGTCGGGACACATGGAAATGCCGACAAAAAAGAGTTTGTCGGTAAAATTTGAACCTTAGTCAACAAAATACCAAAATTTGTAGGGAAACTCTTAGACGACATGCTTTGCGAGACAAAATGGCCGACAAATTTTTTCTTCGGAAAAGACTCTTTGCCGACAAATTTTTGCTTTTGCCGACAAACTAGTTTTATAGGTAAAGTCAAAATTTGTAGTAGTGTGGCTACCTGTGGTTGGGACCTGGGAATCAGTCCCTGGGAGGTTGGCCACTTGGGTTATGTATATATCGAGTACGATGAGCAAGTGTATAATTATGTGTTTAGTAGCTAATTCAAGATTCTAATATTGAGTGGTCTCAATATAAAAACTTCAAAATAAATTAGATGAAAATAATATTAAAATATTAAACGATAAACTACTCAATTTTTCATTCATAATCTTACAAACAACATTTACAATCTATAAAGACTAAATTGTTCACAATGAAGTTTCATACTTTGAAAATGTGTCATGATAGTTTCATTGTCAATATAAGAAAAAGCATATCGATAATCATATGGAACTATCCAATATTGGAGTTCAACTGTCGCGAATAGGATTGGAACTATCCAAAATTGGCGTTGAAATAATTGGAATAGGATTGTCAGAACTAATTGATGATGGTTTTCGCTAGTGGTGATCTTTGGTAGGAGGAAGGAGAATAGACTCTCTTTATTTTTAAAAAAGGTCTCCTTCACGTGGTTAATAAGAAGACGTGCTTTTAATTATTTTGTTTTAAATGGCTTGACACAAAACTATGTTGTTTCGGTCGAGTCTTTTACAAAACAAAATAGTCTTCTTCTCCATCGTTAATCATTTCCAAAACCTCATCCACTAGTCCACTGCTACACTGTTCCCCTCCACCACATGCCTTGGGTGGTCCTCGAGAGTCCTCACAACCAACTTATCTGGGCTGCCGAGTGGTCCTAGGGCCCTCGAGTCCCTTAATGCATCCACCCCTGTATATGCCCTACATATACATCGTTGTTTGGATGTCAATTTCAAGTGTTCAACTACTTACTTACGCACGATTAACGATTATTACAAGCGATTCTACACTATTCTATGCTGAGGAGAAAAACCATGATTTGAATTCGAGAAGTAGTGGGTTGAAGATGAAGACATTAACCATCAAATAATTTACCTGATAGCGATTCAGTGCACATATATTCTTAAGAATATAGTTGAAGCAGCCTAACTTGGTGCAGAAGACCCTGAACTTCCCAGTGAGTTAAGCAATCTTGTTTTCAGTTTCTAGAACACTAGGTCGAGAGGTATTCCTTCCTCAGCCATAGTCCCTCAAGTACAAAAGTCAGCATTACATTCAACACCACTGTCACCAAATCTATTCTACTCGCCCGACCAAGCTCAATCACGAGTTGGCACGATTGCATTCATCAGAAGAACGTAGTTAGCTCATAGTTACTTGGTTTGTGTACCATGACTTGATCATTTTTAGGGTCAACATATTAGCATTCTAAAAACATAAATATTACGTACTCCTCGTTAATGATATTCAAAAAAGAAAGAACTACTACAAATAGTACTATATATATACACAAAAAAATTAACGCCATCGTTTGTAATCATAAATAGTTCAGCTAGCTAGCTAAACCTTGAACAATGCGGATTGGATTCCAGGTAGAAAAGCAAAAGAAAGAGAGAGGTTCTAGATATGGCACGTTGTGAGACGTTCACTCAGAAAAGAAATGAGCTTGTAGTTCTCACAAAAGACTAAATCATAACTTCCCGTTTATTTTGATCTCCAAAAGTAAGAATTTACTGCATGTTTACATAACCGTAATCAGAATCAAATAGTAGAGTTGGATTTCGATTACGAGTTACTCTTGCGTTTACTAAATATTAGAGAATAAAAAAAAATGGGGTCCACATAAATTTAGGAATTCAATTCCTCCAAAGTGGAGGAATTGAACTCCTTGGATGGAGGTAGTATTTAAATTTCTGGTGATGCGTGGAATAGGGAGTCAACTTGTCTTGCCCATTATGCCCTTAAATAATTTCTGAAGTAATAGTTTCCCCGCCCACCCCTTCCCGCTGCCTAGCACCACTCCGTCTCCATCTCTTGTGCTGGTTATGTTATCTTCAAATTTCTTCTCTCTTTAACCAGCCCATAAACAAACGAATTCAAATTTTTCAAATTTTTCAAATTTTATAAATGTTCCAACAAAATCAAGTCTATTAAAAATCAAAATTGTCATGTTCTTGATCATAATAATATAATTAATTTACTTTAAATAATAATCCAATTAATTATTATATAAATAAGGGCATTTTAATAATCATAGTGATATTCATTCCGATTTATGTAAACTAGTAAACAACACAAATGAAATCAATACTATTTTTATTCAAATTCCAGAATATTCAAGTAAACATCTTCAACAGGAATCTGATTCTGATTCCTCATCATTCCAACTCCTCTTCAATTCAATTCCTGGAAATTTAATTCCTTTTATTTTGATTATGATTACGTAAACAAACCCTTGTTCTCATTGGTGTTTCTTAATATATATACTAAAATTATAACTCTAGCCTTTGAAATTCAATTTTCTCCACATAAAAATCGAATCCACCCAAAGCCAACACTCCAACCACCGTGAATTGCAAAATACCCTATCTCTCTCACCCCCACGATCTCCCGCCTGCCATTGATTTCCACGTCATTCTGCTCCCATTCACCAGCGTTGACCCCATACTACCCCAATCTGAGCTATCTTCGCATTCACCACCTTCGTAGCATCGATCTGCACCCCTTCTCCTCCTTTGTGGATCTCCCTTCCTTGCTACACGTTCGTGGTTGGAGATCTTGCCTTGAGTTTTTAATCTGAAAGTTAATTTTAATTTTATTTAAATCTTTTTTTTAATTTACATTAAGCTTTTAATATTTCTTACATAAATAAGTTTTTTAATAATTAAAAAAAAATATTTAACAATAAATTAACGAAATTAGCTAACGGTTTAAAATACAAATACCAAATCGGTTGAACTGAAAACATGGGGACTAAATTGACCGAACATATGAAACACATTGACAATTTTGACATTTACGCTCGAATAAAACTCAATGACTAGACTTTACATCATTAAATTCATTAATTACGTTTGACCTTACATATTTTACATTTTCTGGATGCCTAAAAACCCATATTTGGTTTTATTTATATCATTAATTTCATACAATTTTTTTTTGTTTCCCGGGGGTGCGTCAGGGGAATAAAACTTAATATTATAAATTTATTGCCTAATATATAATAGCAATAAAAGATGCCTAATATATATACAAAATAGTTTATATACAAATTAAAACATTGTTGAAAAAATCACTAGTAATACACGAAGACTTAATGTCACGAAAATTATATTTTACATATAATTATAGGTAAATTATTTTACACACACATATATAATAATAAATGCCCTAAAATACATAAAAGTTAAAGTAAAGGGTCAATACTAGTTTACTACCCTCAAGTTTCGTGGTTTTCAACATTTAGTATATGAAGTTTTATTCGCCCCAGAGTCATACCTAAAATGTTAATTTTGGGATAGTCTCATACATCCATTAGTTTGGTTGTTAAGTCTCCTATTAACTGATGACATGGTGCCCCTGTGGACAATAACTGGGCACCACGTGTCAATAAAGGTCCCACGTGGATATTAAAATTAAAAAAAAAATTAAACATTAAAAAATTAAAGAATTACAAAAAAAGAAGTTCTTCTTCCTCAAACCCTCGACCCCCCTTCCTTCTCCCTCCCTTCTCTCCTTTGCACATCCATCCTTCCCCCTCCCTTTTTGACTCCACCTACTCAACCCTCATCCTCTTCGACGACCTCGTGAGCTCGAGTGAGCGGTGATCGGCTATGCGCGGTGATACTCTCAGATCTCGGGGCGGAGATCTTGAAGCTATGGGGGCGATGATACTCCCAGATCTCAAGGCGGAGATTTTGATTCTGCTATGGGTGGAGATTCTGAACCCTTCCCCATCGCCCACACCCTTCATTCCTCATTTGTCCTCACCAACTCAGTCTCCCTCCTCCGTCCCTCTCCCCCACTCGCACTCGTCGTTCTCCCATCCCTCCCCTAGTCCCTCCATACCCAACTGGACCCATTCCCTCCCCTAATCCTTGCATACCCAACCCAACCCGACTCGGTCTCCCTATGTTCGAAATTGAGAAGGCCTTGACCTCGCTAAAGAAAATCACGCAAGTCATAAAACTAAGAACAAGCAAATCAGAACCATTGTCAATTATCCAAATTAATTAACATTCCAAATTAGAACATATCCTAATTCATTAGAAACATCTAAATCAATTCACAACCCCACAAACCCAATTCATCCAATTGAAAAACCAATCCAAACATCACAACTTTAAGGAAAAAAAGTTCAAAAAACCAATGAAATTTTACTTAGGTTTTACCTCAATTTTTTTAACAGTTTATTCATATTTCTGCTTGGAATAAGCTACCTACTTGCTTGAAGAGCTTTCAATCTTCTTCTTGGTAACATAATATCCAATCTTTCCCTTTGAAGAACCATCATGCA